CTCTTTCCCCCAAAATTAATCAGGAAAAACTCTGAAGATAGCACCACTACTGCTGTTGTCATCTCCATTCCTATGCAAGCAAAGTAGTAAAGAAACCTCACACATCAGGGATGCAACATGATGAAAGAGTGCAGAGAGGGCACAGATTAGGGAGAAGGAATGTTCTAAAGGAAACCAAACTCTCCTAGGGTTACCACAGTCATTTCTCATCCCTGTGTTTTGTGGTGCTGAGTGTCAGTAGCATAACTCATAAATAAGAAACAGGCAGCAAGGCTTCATTTGTCCTACAGACTAGAGAGGAGTTCCTGAATCCATATATGTCTACCTGTGCAAGACTTGGGAGTGTTTCTCTGCACTATCACAGGATGATACTTTATGTCCTTTCCTAATCAAAGCAAGAACATGACACCATTCCTTGTTTTCCAGTTTTTGGGATGGAGCCCTAAAACTCCCTAGGAGTACTCCCAGGTTCCCAGTGAAAGGGCCACTGTACACTGACTTCTATTTTTTGCTGGTTTGTCAATCAATCACGGGTCACAGAACTAAATAAAAGCCCACATATTTATTACACATCGAAAGAGCTTCCCAGGCCAACACCATCATCGCTGCTACTCCCATACAAAGACCTGACTCTGCCTCCTAAAGCAGGTTCAGGGTGGAAGATTTTTGACAAAGTGACTGTTCAGTTGCTACTAAGCAATTAAGGCCAATGTTTCACGCGCCTGGGTTTGACACCCCAGCCCCTTGTTCCTCGTAGTACCTGTTGCTGCAGCAGTATGGGGATAGGATGCTCTACATATCTCTTGGCTATAGAAGAATGATCTTCTCCAGCTGCTCCGCCCAGGTGAAATCCTTCCCGGCCCATCCGTTCCAGGCTTCCAACACGCCTCTCCTGATGGAAAAAAGATCACAAAAGTGAGGTTTGCTTCCCACCACATCCTGGACTCAAGCTTAGCAGTTGTTGCATACTGATCACTACCACTACCCTGCACCTTGCAGTCTCTTCCAAAGGAAAGCTCCTGCCCTTTTGAACAGAAGGATCAATCAGGAATCCCATATTTTAGATCCTTGTCATAGCCATTTCCCAGCTGAAGCATGGGTAATAATGGGAGGTGCTGGCTGAAAATGTGGCCACTGATGTGAGGACCAGCACAGGACCCAAGCTCTTTTTGGAAATACTGCCCTTAGACTTCATTTGTCTCTGCACTGAGATCTGTATATTACTATCATTTTATCATATGGCTGTAGCATCTAGAAATTTGAGTAGTGAACAGAAACCCCACTGTGATGAGTGCTAAACATACCCTGCTGAGCCGATCACCATAACAAATGTACAGTGTTTGCCAAAGCAAACTTGACTCCTGTTCTTTCATGTCAGCCCAAACAGGTTGTTTTACTGATATACATGCATGCAGTCTTCCTTTTTCCTTCCCCAGACAATTCTTCGCTGTGATGTCTCTCTTATAGGTCCCATAGCCTCTATTTTATACCTTACTAATGCATTTTTAAAGCTCTGCATTAAGTGGTCTAGAAGGAGACAACACCACAAGCCCCTCCTTTGGACTGGAAGATGTATCATCTCTCTTTTCGGAGCCAGCAAGAATGACCCACATGCAGCCTATAAAACTTTACTGCTGCGGTGAGCAAGTCACGTACTTTCTGCCTTGCCTCTACCTGTGCATCCTGGTAATTTAATACCAGAATCTGTTTCCCAGTAAAGAAGGACTTTGGTTACTGCAGTGACCAGGCACGTTCACTCCCAGTACTGTGCGTGCAGTGCATGGCAGTCTCTACTATGTCATTTGCTTGTTCCCCTGGCACAAACCCAGATGTTAATTCAACTAGGATTTCCCTGCCTTGTCAAACATCTTCTACATCTTCCCTGAATGCACAGCTTGTTCCCATATCTGCTATGTTCTTCTCAGCAGTACTTTTCAGTTCCTGCCAGCCACTGCTCCAGATTCTGCCCTCGGTTCTTCCACACTCCTTACTGTGTTCACTTGGTAACAGAAGGTGGACGATTCTTCTGAGCAGACAAACTTTCAACTGTAATAACAGCTGCACTCTGGGTGCATTCAAGGACACTAAGACTCAAATTCTTCTCAGATACAACCTACCAGTCAGCTGTGTACCTGCCCTCATGAAATCTAGGCATTTCAATAAGGTAAGTCCTGCTTCCCTTGGATGTGTAAGGCATCTTAGAATTTCAGCTCTGGGGCCTAGCACAGCTTTAGCAAAGCATCTCTATGCAGGTTTGCAGTACTGCCTATTGCTATTCAATACAGAATCAGAAAATTCTGCTCAGTTATATAACTGTACATACCACTGAATCCACTAAAAATTGATGTTGCAGGGCCCACCAGTGTAGTGATGTGACTGGGTTTCCAAGGACAGACTCTCTGCCCTACCCCCCCAAGACATTCTCATGGGCTTGAATTCCTTCCACAGAAAGGTTTCTTACTGAGAATGCCTAAAGATAGTTTGTGTTTACCTTCTCTTCTCGGCTGTTGTCCCTCAGGAAGATCTGCTTCTGCCTGGAGATTGAAGTTGTCTTGTAGTAGTCCACCAGCTTGTTTAGTGAGTGGAATTTCTCTGTCCACAAGTAATAGTTACCCTTTGAATCCCTCATCACTTTGAAGTGTTGCACATCATCTTCATGCCTGGATCCAATTGGAAAAGTAAGAGATCATCAACTAAATTACACTTTTATCTTTTTTGAAAAAGCCTTTTCCAGAAGGGTACCAAAGCTTCTTGCTTGGCCAAATCTAGACTTCTGGAAAGTAAAGCAATGGCAGTTCTTGTGTGTACTGGACCTAGATGTGGCTCTGTGTTTCAAAAAACTCATCAGCTTACAAACATTGAGTGCTGCAGGACTGCCCAGTCACAAAGCACTATCAGAACAAAGCATAGGGTTTTAAAGCCTCTCCTTTGAAATAAAGGCCAGAGGAGCTTTCAGGGCCACAAATAGCTAATAGCTTTATTCTGTACTTTGTACAGGAGACAAAGCTGCCGTTATAGCTACCCACTAGCCTCTGCAGGTTCCTGTTAATGTCCAGTCTGCATTGACTGTAAGAGATGGTATTATACCTTTTCACACCATGGGCATCACCACTACATGCAGGCACAGTCACATGAAGCCATACGCTGAGTTTTATAATTGTATAATAGCTACTGTAATATCATTACTACTGGTCATTCTCCCTACCCAAAAGAAAAAAAAAAGGAATTATTAGTTGCTGTTACAAGCCAAATTAACAGTCTCAACCTTCTGCCCCTGCTTCCCCCCCTGTAACTCCCCTCCTCTTACCTCTTGTCTGACTTGGACAAGTCCCCTTTGCACCAGATCTGATCTGGTTTTGGCACCCACCTCCTTGCCCTGTGCAACTCCATGAACTCAGAACACTCGTCTCAGAGGCTACATCGGCACAAATAAACTAAACAGGGACCAGGCAGGGACTGAGTGCTATCCTGGAGCGCTACAGTCACACAAGCTGTTAAAGTGTTAGCATGGTCTAAACCAAAAAGCCCTCCCTTAGATGGTGGTGGCCATGGTTAGGGGGACAGAGTAGACCAGGAACTGCTTGCAGTGAGCTGCTTGAATACAGCTGTTCTGTGGGCCGAAGGGGATTTAGCCATATGGAGCTGAGCTCTGCCACATTGCTTGACCTCGGGGCCAGAGAAAGAGCCTGACTGTACTTAGTTTATTGCTGTAGATGTAATCAGAATGTTTTTCTGCATTCCTCCCAGATACTTTTTGAGCTCCCTGAATAAGAAAGTGCACACTGCTTGGAAAAGACATTGCTAACCACTACTCTAATTTAAAACTGGTTATCAGTTGTTTGACTGAAAACTAGGAAACCAACGATCATTTAAGAGCTCTGCTTTGAAGCAAACACTCTGAGAAAGGCTGGGCTACAATAAGTTGCTGAAATGCAGCTGGGCTGCAAGCAACTAAAAGCCATTCCTGTCCAATGGCTGTTCAGTGACCTGTGGGAAATAAGTTAACAATGTAATAGTCATCTCTTAATGGGTAGTAGTGGAATTCTTGGATTCAGTAACCAGAGCTGTCAGGGAATTAAAACAAATGGAAGGCACATGTTTTGCACCGTGGGAGGCGTTCCATGTACCACTTCGCTTTGCTGCAACTTCTGAGAAGCAGGTCACCAGGGGATGCAGCTTTGGAATAGGGCATTCACTGTGTCACTTGAAAAGAGGCAGAAACATTTGGGAATCGGATGCCTAATTTGTTCTCGTTCACAACACAGCAGCACTGCCAGTGACTGGCAGCATGCAAACTTCCCAAGAGGCTACGTCACATTAGGAATCCTGTCAAGAGAAGGCCAGGGGCACCATTAAACAGAAAAAGAAGCAGGAAAATGCTGTGAGCAGCAGATACCTGACAGAGATGGAGAAGTCACCGTGAGAGTTCTGACTGGCTCGGACAATGAAAGAGCCAACTCCTTTGCTCATGAGGACGTTCTCTGCTTCGTGGCGGGATATCCTCTCATCAAACCAGCTATCAAGTGGGAAAAATCATGGAGACATGAATAAGGAAGGTGAATTAAGGTAAGGAACAAAAAGTTGAGAGTAGGGAGAACATGAATAAGCAGGGTGGAGAAAAGACAAAACAAAAGGATCAGAGGAGCCCACATGACTACTCCCAGTGGCCGTGTACATGCTAAGGTACAGGGTATAGATGGGTGCAGACCATTTTCCTTCAGCAGTAAAAGCACGTAGATGCAAAAAGAACAATGTAAGCTTTGGTCTGCTAAGAAGCAACACTCAGCCGAAACTGTAATTACAGGCACAGTGAAGTAAGGTTTAGTCAAAGAAATTTTAAATTACAAATGTGTATTTATACACATATATACACACATAATTCTCAGATGTATACATCAAATTGCTTTTGGTAACCTGATTGAAGACTACTAGACTGTGATGGATATATTGCAAGGGACGCACATAAATTTTAAGCAGAATCAAGCCATGAAAGTTTTAGTACTAATAAACGGGTTCCTGCAAGAGTTATAATACCACAAAATTGCAGAAACACAGAATACATAAGCAGACTTATGTAAATTTAGCCAGACATAACAAACGATAGTGTAAGGCACTGGACTAATAATGAGAAAGTCACCATAAACAGTTAAATAATACAGTGTCAATAGGAATTTTTCAGTAGAGAAAAAAAAACATGTACACGCATATATGTCCACTCCACAGCTAATAAGATCTACAATCTGCGGTCTTCTGGTTTTACGTAATGCTTAATTGCCTGTATTGCATAAAAATTAAGGGCTGACAGTTTCATAAGCTCTGACATTTCCACATTTGAGTTTCATTATACTTTTCTTTACTATCATCACAGTGTACCTATGTATCATTAGCAAAGGGAAATCAGACTTTAATCAACATTGATAACTGGTCTCAATGAATACTTGACAAGAGAAAGATGGGAAAAAACAGCCCATCAAAAATAGGAGACAGCTTTCTTCCTACATCTGGTTCTAGCATCTGGCCTGAACTGCTTCGAAGTGCAGATCTGCTACTCTTAGAAAAGCGTCAAAGTGGAAATATTTTTTCACAGCTCTTGCACAGAGAAAGCATCATGAGAAAAATGTGTGTGAAAAAAGAAGCTCCTAGTGTCCCTGCATGATGCCACAGCCCTGTGAAAGAGCGAACAAGAACAACTGACTGGGAGATCTTGTCCCCTTGAGAAAAGTACGAGGCCATATCTGCACAGCAAACTAATAATGTCCTTCAGCTCAGCCAAGCAGGCTGGCTTATGACCGAAATGGACGCTAAGTGCTGTCTCCAGAGGGGACAGTGGCACTTATTTGTACCCACAAAATCCATGTGCACTCCCAGGTTGCATGCTCAGAGCACCGGTGTGGTACAGCTAGCAGTACTGGGCTTGGTACATGCTCTCTTGAAATGCTGCAGCACTTTTTCAAAAGAGGAGAATTAGAGGGACTTTAGGGAGCATTTCTGCCAACTGAAAGGAAAAGGTTGTAAAAATGCTATGCATTGTCATATTTATGGCACAGGGCTGGATAGCACATTTAACATGCATTGAAACACCCATCAGTCCTTCCTGAAAGTGCAGTGCCATCTACTCAGTGGGAAGAGAGAAATGAAGGTATGCCTGTCCTCTGACAGATCTATGTTTGGGTGTGCAGTCACGAAGCGTGGAGAAGCGTGTGTGTGTGTGTGCCTGCATGTGTGTGGGAGCAGGGTGGCATGTCTGGTCTATCATCTCCGTCAATCCATGAGTAACACCAGCTGTCACATTTCATGTAGCATTGCACTGACCTCTAGTGTGTCGAGAGAAACTCACACGCACTTTGTGGGGGGAAGGGAATGCGGATGGCAGGGTGGGGAAAAGGGAGTTAATGTAGTTAAAAGTCGGAGGGGGGGGGGAGGAATTACATTTTTATAATTTATTTTCAGAGACATCTCTTGCTCTTTCTTTTGTGCTTAGCCTCTGCCTCTGTTGCCAAGACTTCACATCATGACTATTCTCCTTCTGTCCGAGGAGATCTAAATGCAGTTCCTGCCACATCCCAGTGACATCCCTCCCAGCAACAGTAACAAAGGAATCACTTGGGAGTGATAGAGAGCATTGAGAATGATTCAGCTCTGAAAGAACAGAGGATGTTTCAGGATAGAAATAAGGTATGCTGGCAGAACTGCATATAGGATTATGGCAATCCTTGCCAGCCTTAAAATGAAGTATGTTATAACCATGCCTTCCTTTCTCCATGCACAACGCATGCAGTTTCCACGACACTTACGGGGGAACGTGAAAATCAATGAAGTTCTTAGGAACATAGCCCTCTTGACTTCTGAGTTCAGCCTTGTACCACTCTTCCTGGGAGCTCAAAACCTGCAGTGGAGAGACGGATGGAATAAACAGGTCTCCTGAGAAAAGCAAAAGTAATCAAGACCCTGGTGGAAACCTAGAATTTCTTGTAAGAATAGAAGAGAACACATGTGCTCTAATTCCCACCCTCAGTGCAGCATGGTTAGTGGCCGATGACCATTTCAGAGCAAACAAAGCAATAAAGAAGGCCAAGTAGGATTAGAGGGATTGCTTGTTAACTTTATCCCTTCATCTGAATGTGTGTCCAGGTGGCTGGGGATGCCATCTGCACGTCTCTGATATCTGTGAAATGAAGAAATTCAGCTCTAAAGGACCTATTAGAGGTTTAAGGCGTTCTCTGTGTTGCTTTTAATAGTTGGTACTGGAGCATCTCAGTTTCATAAGGGAGGAAAAAAAAATCTGTGAAAACTCCTCTGACATGTATGGGTGTGGAGGGACATACAGCTATAGCTCTGTCTGTGTGTGTTATGACCACACAGATGTTACCATGTGCTATCACATGCCATTTCACAAGATATTTTTTAGTGGGTTAAGTCTTTGGCTTCCCTAAACTTTGCCAAGGTAGATTAGAGAAGGAGGCAAAAAGTATTTTAAAGCCAACTATTACATTGAAGACATTGTAGGATAGCAGGAGGCCAGTGCATACTGGAACAGCTTCAAGTGTGCTTACATTAATGTCAACTGTAATGGTCCTTAGAGGCTTCCCTGCTGACCAGGGACTGCCCAAATTCACCGCTCCCTGGCTGACGGCCCCTGATACAGCCCTAAGCTAGAGGAGAGAGGACAGGGGTACAACCACACAGTGATTTTGCTGCAAATGTTGTGGTCTTTGGTGTTTTGTTTGACATTCCAACTCCTAGGACAGAATTCTGCTTTATGAAAAAGAACATGTTTGTGTTCTCTCTGGTTTTGCAGAGGAGCCTGAAAGCCTGAGCCATGACAGTTTTAAAAGGAGAAAGCACGTAGAAAAGACTTAATTTAAAATCTATTGTTAATAATAATAATAATAATACTTGTTTTGTAAGCCAATCTCATGTTTTTGGGAGCCTAACACACATTCTAAGTGTTTTGTGTTGGCAACAGGATGTTACTGTCTCTGGGGCTGACTTTCCATTGCCTTGTCTGCCATGTAGGCCTTTTATGCACTTCGATACAGAAAGGTTGGGGAATAGAAAGCTGTGGAGATCCCTGCGTGTATAGTCACTGCTTCCCCCGTACCTGGGTGCCGGATTAAGGCTCTTTTTTGCTGCTGTGGCCAACCAAAGGGGTTGGCCTCCTTGCTCACGCTCAGGCCCTGCTCTGTTGGCGGCAAGGTTTCCAGAAAGACCCACCTGCTGGTTCTCGGTGCAGGGCTGGCAGGTTTCTCTCAGTGTGTCATCCTCTCAGAGAAGGATGTGGGGGGGGTTGAGAGGGTGGATTTCCTCCTGTCACTGCTGGTTGAGGGCCTCATGTTTCCTGTTTTCTAATCTCTACATCAATACTGTTCATCTTATCTCCTTTATAAATCAGAAAAGACAGCCAGCAGGTTGTGCAGGCAGCAGGAGGGGGCTCATGACAGGGTATGAATGTATGTGTGCAGATATGCCAGAAAAGGGATGTTACTCAGGCTAATTTACTGTTACTATAGCTTGGGCGGCTAAGGTGTTACTTCGTTTACCTCAAGGACGTTAAAGCAAGAGGCAGCCTGACTTCTCTGGTTGTGAAGTCTCTGTGACAACTAATAATAATGCAGATGTGTAGTGTTATTTGACACTTTTCATCAGTAGCTTCCAATGTACTTTGAACGGAAGCTCTAGCTTATAATGATTTTACAGAAAGGGAAGCTGAGGGGCAGAAGGAAAAGTGATCTGGCCAACACCATCACCCCAGCCAGGGACTTGATGAAACCACGGTCTCCTGAGGAAGAAGCTATCAGATAAAGATCATGGGACAGTAGGGACATGGGGACTGCTCTTGACCTAAGGAAGAACTAGGAATGAGAGTGTTCATCTGTGCTGAAGAGAGGCGGTGATTTCTCCAGAACCTTCTCATAGCTCTCTGGAAAAACCTGGTATATGATCTTAATGCATTCTGGATGCCATCAGCTTTGTCTAAGCTTCAAGAATTTAAAGGCCAATAAAATAAAAGACAGTGGTGATGGAAGAGGCTGGGCTGAGACCCAATATCTGGTTGTTAACTAGAACAGCTGGAACTATACCGGGAAGTAGCGAAGGCTCCTGGGCCAAACAAGGTTTTATATCCTATTGTTGTACATCATGTCTTTGGACAGTGGAGGAGTTAAGGCCTTAGAGAGGAGTTATACTCAGGCATTTTCAGCTGAAACAGAACAGCTACGCTGGGGGCTGAGAAGTGGATAAATAATTAGGGTAGAGCAGCGTGTGACTTAATCTGTGGGACTTTCATGGGGTTAACAAGAACTTTTCTACCATAACACATGCAAATCAACTTTAAAGAGACTCTCACATGCTCTGTATTGTGTATGATCAACTCTACTTCTGCCATTCCCCCACTGCTAAATTACTGCAAGGGTGTGTATAATATTATTAGCCCAGGACCTCTTAAACTCTTCCATTATGCATGTAACAGACTGTCTCATGGACTTTTCATCTTCTATTGGCAATTGCCTAAAACCCCTGTGGCAACTAACAGTAATTACTTACAGTGAAAAGTTAGATATAAGGTCTATAATGCATGATAACTATCTTTTAAACAGTTTAAGAGTTGGAAATAAGGAAGACAGCAATCCCTCTGAACCACACACATCCTGCTTGCCTTTAGACATAGTCATCCTAAAAGCAGTCACCCTAGACTACCTATATAGTCAATGAAAAAAGTCAGGACCCTCAAAATCTGTCTACCAAAGAACTGCATCTCTGCCCCAGCAAAGGTACTTATCCTTCCCTGCTGACTACTGGAGGACTGTAGGGCAACTAAATTCATAGTTTATAGACCTAAAATCAAGTGAAGTGGACACAGACTCAAGTGACCTGGGAATCGTTGGTTAGCTATAGCAAGCACTATTGGGGATGAGTATCCTGCATTTTTATCCCAGTTTATAGACATACGTCTTCATCTGTTTTGTCAAGGCAAATGGGAGCATAGAAAGATCTGTCAGCGCTCTCAGAAGTGCTGTTTAGTCAAGTCTGAGGCTGCACTTACCTTCAGCATATCCCCAGCCTGGAAGCTCAACTCATCCTCTCCAGAAGCACTGAAATCAAACTTGGCGATGGCTTCCATACTGTGTCGCGGTGGCAGAGCAAAGCTGGAAGAAGTATACGCTTGTTAACATCTATGAGCTGCTGGGATTGTTGGGTCTAGCCTCTAGAAAGCTTACAGGCAATGCTGTGATTTGTACGTGGACCATTGGCAGACTTTAGTTACTAGACATGGAAAGACATCAGCAGGTAGAAGAGATGGCATAGCCAAGAGGCTATAATTAGCTCAAGTAAGCAGTTCAAACAACCCATTGTGTATGCTTATTCCAACAGACCCCTTTCTCTGCAGCAATCTCATGGAGAAGTTTGCGCACATCACCCAAATAAGCTGGGTAGCAGAGAAAAACCTTCTGTATAGACCAACCACTACTCTGTCACAGTTCCAATAAAGCAAGTGACTCTGTCATGCAATAGAAGAATGCATTTTCCCTCTGTGGTGACTCTCAAGAGTGAGACAAATTGCAGACAAAATGAACAGCCTGCAATAAATACAGTTTTTTCTTGGACAGGGACCACAGTACTGAAGGTTGAAAGAGTCTTTTTCTCTGTGATGGCTTAGCACGGGTGACCACAACTTTCAGCTAGGAAAAAATGTTTGCAGAAAGGCTGTATTCTGTATTTTGGAGCAGGCAGTGAAACTGTAACACCAACAAATTTAAGGCATACACTTACCCTGCCTCAGTGTTGGTAACCCAGGAGCCTGAAATGTACCAGACAGCCTGCAAACCGAAGCCCGCCTTTCATCAGCAGAGCAGATGTGGCACGGGAAGTAGCAACATGAGCTTTGCTTCTTTACCACTTCCTGCTCATGTAACTCAGATGTACCCCAGCAGGACCACTTTCTAATCAAGAGAGTTACTTATTTCCCATGGCTGGCTCGTGGACCCTGCAGCCCAGGGGACAAGCTGCCAGTGACAAGGCAAGAAATAGCTGGGCAGTGCCACATTAACCAAGGGCACTGCTGGTAGATGCTCTTGCAGGCCAGCTTGTGAAGACCATCAGACGGGTCCAATATAGAAGTAATATTTATTATTACTAAGCTAGTTACATCTGGCAACAATGATCGTGAAGCCAAAGGTTCCATTACCTAATTTCACCTCTCACAAAAGCCCCCAGGCTTGACAAGAAGTGCCAACCTGCCTGATCCAAAACGTTCTTAACCAGAAAGCCCTAGAAAGAAACCATATGAACAACCCTAGTTAGGGGACTATTTCTTGTCTCTTGTTAGAACTGAGACAAGATCCCCAAAACATAAAGTACTGATACTGAGCAAGCTCCAAAATGATGCCACTTTAAAATCAACGGCTACTGTGACCATCCTTCTCCGCAATACCTGCTGTAACTTCCTCCTTTGACAAGCAACCCAGGGATTTAACTACCTGTGTACCAAGGATCCAGGCCCCAGCTCTGATACAGTGCAACTTGACTTAAACCACTGAGAATAAGCTGGGAGAAAGTCTGCAGGGCAAAAATTATGGACAGAGGTAGGACAGTTGAGACAGCACCAGCAGTAGCCCAGGGATTCAAGAGGAAAAACACCAACATACAAAGATACAAAATCTCAGAGTAAAAACAAAACCACAGGAGGTTTAGTTGGGATAGTCAGTCTAGCTGAGGACTAGTGAGGAATCATTGGGGTCACTGAGCAGAGTTGTCAGTGCCATCGGTTCTGACCCAGCTGGCAGCAAATGGCAACCATGGAGGCTCACATTTCCCTCCTGATTGATGCCAGCCTCACCAGCAAAGACTCTTTGGGTGCCTTTACACAGGTGAGTAGTATGCTAATGCTTAGCCTAATATTTCATTAAATCCTACCTAGCTTCTATGCGTGTTAACTGTATAAAGCAGTTATTTATTGGCTAAGTTGTGTGTTTCCTGCTTCTGGAGTCCCTTTGCTCCTGACTAAAGATGTCTGGATAAAGTGATCCACAAGACGGGCCATAACATCACTGAAGATTAGATCTGAGATTTGTTACATCTCATTTCTAATTATAAAAAGATCTTCACGTGCTTCCTATTGGATTCCATTAGCACCCTCTTTTTTGCTGCTTATAGGTGAATTTGTGTTTATGTGACTAATGTGACCTATGTGGTGCCAAGGCAAATTTTTTAGCAGTCCACAGACATTCAGTGTGAACTTGTCCTACAGCAACTGTGGTTGTTTCAGCATTGGGGCCTCCCATGTAGGCTGGAGTACATAATTCAGTTGTGATCTGCTATACACCTGCTATTCCAGCCCGCTGCTGTAGGGTTTTGACAGTATACATCAATACTGAACTATAACATCTGATGTTTTACCAATGTGCTTTATTCTCAATCTTCAGCTTTCCAGCTATTCCAAACATTTTCACCCCCTTTTCTTTCTGTCCACTTACTGTTTTTCTTTAATTCTTAATTTGGATACCCTTTGCAGATTTGCAAATATAGCTTAGGTTCACCCTCCGATTGCCCCACTCTTATTCCAGGCATTGGTGTAACTCTGCAGATGCAGCTCCAGCCTGATCTGAGAACTGTCCTGCAGAATAGTCTTGCACTGACATTTTTGGAGCTTCAGTCTATAACATCCCACAGCCAGTGCAAGCCCACTGTGTGCTAACACAACGTACGGGTATTACATTGGAGGGGAATTGAGGGAACTAGTTAAACAATGACACTATTTCATGGAAGAGAGCTGAAGAAAAAGACTAAAGGAGAATTACTTTAATAAGGGATGTTTTTCAGTGTTTTATCTTGCAGCAGTGGGCTGCTGCAGAGAGATCAGAGCCAACAGTGCAGATGAAACCTGGAACTCCTAAATGCAAAGCATTAATCCCAGCTTGAGAAAAAAACACGATTAAAAACAATAAACTGTTTAAATACAAATCCTGTTTTTGATTTTTGCCCCTTAGTCACAGAAGAGACAGTGGGGGTTCTCTCTGCAGGGTGCAAGAGGGGAGAGAGCCTTTCATTTTTCAATATCCCAAACATTAAAGATGCTATTGGAGATATGACCCCCTCAAAAGGAGAAGGGTTTGTGAAAGAGTTAAAATCTCTCTCACCTCCTTTTCAATTTCAGCAATCTCAACCTCGGGGAGAGACAAGGAGACAGATACCTCTTCAAACAATCTAACACATGGATTAAATGTGCTTTTCATTGCCAGCGGCTGGATTTAGAAGTGACTCAAATACCATACACAGTGTTGGCTGTGTTGATAAATCAGCAATGCAGTAATGCTGTGGCCTTAAGCTCTTCCCCCACCAACTACTAAAGCAACACTAGCCAATAATCCTGTCTTTGAACTCCAGCCTACCACTTTTCATCACCTGAACTTCAAACCGGTTCTGTTTTTCTGATCCTGTTCCTCCCTCCATCTGTAACTCGAGAATCCTCACTCCGCATGGGTCAGCGCTGGGCCCTCATGAAAACTCCCCTGCCAGGGGCCCATTCTTTTCCTCTCTGCATGTGTGTGACTTCAAGCACCACCCCATGACAGAGAGACAAGAATTTTTTCATTATTGTCATGCATGTGTGTGACTTCAAGCACCACCCCATGACATAGAGAGACAAGAATTTTTTCATTATTGTCACAACTTACATTTCTCAAGCACCTTTTATCCCAAAGGACAGTACTGCAGTTTGCAGACAGAGCGCCAGATTCCGCTTTTAACTGCCTGGTGCAACTCCTTTAAGCTTTCGAGTAACCAAAGACAATTTTAGACTGTGCATAATGTTCTGTGTGAAAATCACCTTTGTACAGAGTTTAGCATGAGGTCTACACAATATTCAAAGGAAGATTTTTCAGTTCTGAGTGTGAGTTGACCAGTACCCTCCATTTTGTGCTGGCTCTCTGCATGGAGGTGAATTTTCTCTGTGGTTCCCCATGGTAACGAGGCGGATCCAAGGGGCATAGGGCTACTGCAATTCTGTGGGACTGCTGCAGCAGAAGGTTCATAAAAGAAGTGAAAAGTAGCATGGCTCTGAGAGCATGAGGTAGGTTTTGTAGTGTGGCAGAATGCCGTTCCCTGAGCAAGAACATCAGCATCTCTCTGTTGATGAAAAGAGCCAAGGCCTAAATCATATCAGCAAGCAAAATTGCCTGACAACAGCAATCCAAAGAGTTTAACACCATTATCCTACACCAAGTTGGGTCAAAATTCAGTAATAACAATGCCAGGGAAGGTCACCACCTCTGAGAAGTTTACTACTCAGGGACTACCCAGGCTCAGCCCCGCTCAATCTCACATATTAACATCACAGGAGGAAGGCATAGTTGCAACAACGCGCTCACTTGAAGGAGCCATATGAACAAAAGTGTTTATTTTTATGCCTGCAGCACGCACATCTCCAGCCTGCAGCTCCATCCAGTGAGGTTTTGTACTGAGATATACAGTGTGAGCTACGGCGTCTTTGTTCGGCTCCGCAAGAACAACCTATCGGACTGACAAGCAACCAGGGACAGAACATCTGTACAGAAACTCCAGATGACATTTCAGCAGAAACAATGGAGAAGGGACCCGTTATCTAGAAGACCTGTGATAGATAAAAGCTTTGTTTTCACCAGCTAAGCCACATACCAGTGGCATGGGAATATTTTGTTCCAAAAACACAAGCCTCTTGCTACGGAGCTAACGTGTAGCTCCACTGACTGTCAGCGATAAGAGGGTAAAATTTGTAAGGGAGAACAAGTCACTAAAACACTCAGCACTGTCACATTTAAGTCTTGGCTATCCTGCCATCCAGAGCAATGCACAGTACTTGGGTTGAGCCCCTGTGCGCAGAAAAAATAAGCCTCCTAGGAACCTAGGTTCACAGAACAAACAAACTTTTAGGACTCTATTTACCAACAGCAGTTAGTAAGAAATGCCCCAGGCTAGGATGGTGCTTAATATCCCTGGTGAACCCGGGTCTTCTCTGCTACTTCCAGTCATGACAGAGTAGAGCTGTGCAGCACCATGGGGAAGCCTCTGCAACAGCAGCCCCAAAGAGAGTAGCACAATACCGCACAATATTGTGAGAGTATAAAATCATGAATCTTTGCTGTGCTGGAAGGGTTGGTGTGGAGGACTA